CTCTCTCTCTCTCTCTCTCTCTCTCTCTCTCTCTCTCTCTCTCTCTCTCTCTCTCTCTCTCTCTCTCTCTCTCTCTCTCTCTCATCACCCCGATGTGGGCAGTCCGTCGCCTCACACCCACACATAGTTGTTACCCCGCTTGATCCTAGCATGCAAGCCAGTGTAGCATATGTGCCACAGTCCGTTTTCGCCCCACGTCAACCCCGCACGCTTAGCATCAGCTCGTCGCATCGCCCAACTCCCTACTCACCTGCCAACTTTCGCTCGTTAGCTGATCCTCTCGACCGCGCTAACTTTGAAAATTCTTAGAGAGTGAGTTAATCGCGCTTATGAAATTTATAGAATGCATGAGTGTGACCGCGATAACCGGGATTGTGTCTGAGTATGAAGAAGAAGGAGGAAGGGAGTGCCAACGACTGCATGGCCAGGCCGCAACGTGGGGGACGTAGCCTCACTCCACACATTGATCCGGTCATGCACACGTTCAGACCAATAGGACGGAGGAAGAAGTATGCGAGCACGGAGGCGCCACAAAAGATACCAAGAACGAGGGAATTACAGTTGCAATTATGCCGCCCAAAACAAAATTTACAGTTACACTCAGGATTAAGGCGCGGAGAAATCAGAGCACAGATCTTGACGCGGCATGGCGTGTGCAAGTAAGAAGCGCTGTGCATCAGAAATTGGGGCGTTCCTTAATTCCTAATTCTAATTCCTAGTTGGAAAAAGAAATTTCGAACGAAGGAATTTCCAAGAGCCCGCGGGGCCTATGAAACCATGCGTTCATTGAACGCGGGTTTTTCGTTCACATGAACGGAATGCACGCACGTGCAATGAACGCGGCCGAACGCGAAGTTCAATTCCTCGGGAAAAAAACAACCCTAAAAAACTTCCGAAAAAAAAAAAGTTACGAAGACAAATAAAATAAACAACATTTGCCTGAGCATTACATCCAAATTCGTTACCAAATTGGAAATAAAAATAGAAAACAGAAAATAGAAAAAAGTAAAAAGGGAATTGAATTTAGTGAGTGCGCGAGTACGTTTGTGACACCACCATCTTTGGCGATTTTTTATTGTTTTTTGGCCCTAAAAAGTTACAGGTGTGTACTTCACATTATACAAAACTCATGAAAAAAGTGTAAAGAAATAATAAATTTGTTTAGGTGGCGAAATAAAATAAAAACAGAAAATAAAAAGTAAAAAAATGAGTGGGCGAACACGATTTGACACCGTCATCTTTGGCGATTTTTCGTTTTTGTTTGCCTTTGCAAAATGAATCCAAAATTAACAGGCATGTACCCCACATCATAGAGAACTCATAAAAAAGAAA